TAGCAGGAGAAAAATAGATCCACTTCATGCCTATCCATGAGATAAAATCAGATTAAAACACAAGCATACCATCTATAATAGTCAAAATGATCAAAATGATAGCTTATATCTGTATAGAGCTTTATATCTGCTTTCCCAGGCTGTTGTCTCTATCTTTTCCCGCTTTGAAGTGATGGATGAACATATATGAGCTTACCCAGAAGAAAATCCCAATGGAGAGAAGGAAGCGAATCAAATAGATTGATGCAAACATGGGAGAAGATGAAAGGAGAGCGATGATGTAAAGGGTAGGAAGAAGCAGGGAAGAGGCAGATGGTTGGCATCAGTGGATTGGAGAGATGGAGTATAAGCTAAACAGTCTGGATACCTGTCTTTATTCTGGCAGAACTGAAACCGACAAGATGGAAATCAATGCTGTGATCAGGACCAATCTGTTCAGTGTTCTGCTTCTACAACTGTTCTTCTCAGTGTCTCCTTTTACCATGTCAAACCCACTGGCGATTGTAAAGGGCAAAAATGCTGTACATTTGAGGGACAGATATCTATCTATATGTACCATTCAATTGGTAGTTGAGTTTTGCATGCACCAGCCACAAATCTATCTATATGTGACTGGTGCATGCAAAAATCAGAGTATTAACACTCTATACTTTTTACTTTTACTTGAGTGATATTTTGGTTTTCCTTAGATAGAAAACTTTGAATCAATTGACTATATATTGTAAAACGCCTTGAGATTGCATGTAATGTGAATAAGGGCTGTATAAATAAATTGACCTGAATTGAATTGTAATCTTTATAAAATATCAATACTCCAACTTGAGTAAAATGTTTGGCTGCTCCATCCAGTGAGAGTAGCTTCACTGAATAACAAAGAAATTATTTTATTTTATTGGTGCTCAAGAAAAAGACACACAGTTAATGTTTAGGTCAAAATCAATTTTTTATTTTTATTTTTATTTTTTACCAAATGTTTTTATTAGTTATTTAGTGTTTGATTAGTCTTTTCACCAAGTCGTTTTTACTCACAAAATGGACCTTTCTTTAAGAAGATTAGGATTTCAACAACACTTTTATTTACACAATTCAAAAGATAGAATCAATTATTGATATAAAACAAAGTCAGTTACAAATCACTATTAAGGTAAAAACAAGTATCAGCTAAAAATCATTAAACAAGGAGCTTGATAATTTGTTTGACACAGTACATAAAATATTGGGGCTGCTCCTTGGAGCAGTGGCAAGAAGGTTGTGGGCTCAATTCCCGGCCTGGGATCTTTCTACATGGAGTTTGCATGTTCTCCCTGAGCATGCGTGGGTTCTCTCCTGGTACTCCGGCTTCCTCCCACAGTCCAAAAACATGACTGTTAGGTTAATTGGCTTCTGTAAATTCTCCTTAGGTGTGAATGGTTGACTGAAAACGATGTGTCTCTGCAAGTCATCAATGAGTTTTCAGTGAAATCATAGATAAATAACTACTTTAATAATAACTTAAAAATCCATTTAATGTAGATATTAGTACATGTAATATTAATGTTATGCAAAGCATTTTTTTTTAAATAAAAGTATGTAAGTAATGACAATGGAAAAAATGTTCGCCCCAGACATTTGGTCCACTATACCTTTTATTTAGAGAGCATGGATGTTTAAATATGTGCATCTATTTGTAATCAAACGGCTGTAGAAAAATATAGTTTGTCTTTATTTAGAAAATATGGATGTTGTGCTCTTTCCTGTTGGAACAGTGTAGATTGACCCTGAGGTTCTTGATGGTTCTGGTGCCTATCCGCTTTCGGCCACCCCTCAGTCTACATTGGTTATTGCCTGGGACCCCTTATAAAAAATGTCTGGCTACGCCTCTGGTAGGAAGTTGGAAAGATTCACATCGGCTATCCCATCCTATACCTGCATGGCTGTAGCGCACAGGTGCGGGCCAGGCGCTGACGGCACGCGCCGCTCCGCCAATTACAAGCAGAGCGCGCGGCCACGTGAACAAAGCAGGGCTCTAAATTGAGCGGAGAGCAGCTGTAGAGTGAGCGGCATCCCTGGAAGCAACACGGAGTGGGAAGTGATATCAGGGCTGAGCGGCGCGCAGGTAAATTGCTTTTCTTCCTCTCTGTCTCTCGCGGGGATTTTCTTATAAAGGAGCTGTGCGATGGGACGTGATGTTAAATGTATCGCCGCTTATGGATGGCTGATTCTCTCATCCGATCCGTGGACAGGACAATCAGCATCCCCGGCTGGTTGCTGGATCTGCACTGAAACTACCCCCCCTCCTCTTCCTGCTCCACAGCATGCCCCCCCTCCTCTGGCTATTGATAGTTGACAGAAGCCTCTTAATCCCTGGTTGATCTGGGCTGACCCGTCGCAGGCTTTTGTTGACTAAACTTCATTTGGTTTCTAGCTTTGTTTTAATTGGTGACGTCCTCTTTAATCGATGCCGAGCACCGGAGAGGATTATTTTCTGCTGTATGCAGCCTGGCAGGCAGGCAGATGCAAGCTTTTATTGCTAAATTATTTATAACACTGTCTGGGAGAGAGTAATGATTCTGCTTGATAAAGAGGAGCCACTTTTTTTTGCTTTGTAATCACGATTTGCTCAGTTTGTGATTCATTGTTTTGCTCCTTTAAAGAGGTACCATTAATATCATCAATAATTGACTAATTGCTATTGGCTATAAACATGCTCTGATTCTAGTATTTATCATTGGATAGATGATAAATCATAGTTGATTGAGCCATAAAGAATTATTATTGTCAAATTCATTTCAGATTTAGAACATATTTTTGACATTCGTGTTACCACGTGGTCTATAATCCTGGATTTCCACAGGTGCAAATATAAGATGTGGTTCACGCCATGTCACCTTGTTATCCTCCCATCGATCCGTTTCCCATTAAGTAAATGCAGCACTTTTTTTTGCACTTGCCATTTTCAGCCTCTCTCCACCGGAATGAGTCTGCCTGGCTCGCGCCTGCGCAAATCTCACCATTCATCTCAAACGAGATTCTCCCTCTTTTGCTTTCTGTTGTCTCGTGCAAGACAGGAGAGAACAGCAGGCGGCGTTATGGCAAGCAGAATTGAAATTAATCAAACAACCGTCCTGTTAGAAGTTCAAATTTTTGACATATTTTTAGTCAGTCAGTGATATTTTATTTCTGAAGTTATTTTACATTTATAATAGAAACACTGAGAACTATTGTTATACTTGATGACTAAAGAATACAATGCAACAAAGTTTTTCTGATAATAATGCAAGATTTACAAGATATTTGGAAATGTTTTCTAAAAGTCAACATAAGCAAAATACACATTTTTACTAGTTTTTAGTTTTTTATCCAATGATTTTGTTGGTTCGGCAATTGATAATTAAAGGCTAAGATCAGCTCAAGATCAAACCACTGCTCTAATCAGGATTTAGTATCAAATGTACTGATGGACCTTATGTGTTTAACCAGTGTCCCCTATCATTTCTATATATAAATAAAACACTGTCATTATCATTTTAACAGTTGTGCAAATTATGTTTAAATTCATTTTTGTATCTTTTTAATGCCCCAAAAATATCTGTATAAAAATAGGTATTTATTTGTGTTGTGTGGCCAAGTATTATTTGCCTTGCTGGGACAGTCTAAGGACACTAAGATGTGAATTGGGTTTAGGTTAGAATAAAGGTTATGTATGTATGTTTTTATTTGAAATAAAAAAAGTACTGATATTTACGAGATGGAGTAAAAGATATTAGTTGCACTGCTGCATTAATTACATTTAGGATAATAAAGCTTAGGGGTAATAACTGTTGGAAAAACAGGTTAAACATTTGCCTTCAATATATGTGCCAAAAAATAAGAAAGTATGCTAAGGGCAACTGGTATCACTAGGGGGAATTCTTTGGTTCTGAATTTCTTAAATATCTTTCTCTGATGTTCTTTGTTTGTTTGTTTTTTGTTTTTTTTTTTTGTTTTTTTCCATGCAGGCTACATGGCAAAAAGAAGCCACGTTTAGAAAATAAAATCCCACACATAGGTAGAAGAAAAGCCCTAACTGTTTCATTCATGCAACTTTATCTTTCATCTGAACTAATTTTGAAGGGGAAAATAATCACATTTCAGAGGTTTTAAACTGTATATGTAATTCAAAAACTCCATACAAAATAGCTAGCCAGCTGGCTACAAACGCAGCAGTTAGTTAAAATTCTCTACATCCTTGCTTTGGTCAAACTATTGGAGCAGGTTATATGTTATACAATGGAGTCCATGAGGACTGGTACATTTTTTTTACATCTGCTAATAATGTGGATTCAGTAGAGTCAAAAATATTTATGGGCAAAAAATACTGAGAGATGCTTAAAAAAAGGGTCAGATCTGGTCAAGGACGAGCATTCTCTCACTTCTACCTTTCATCATCTCTAAAGAAGAAGCTGGTTTATAAGTGTGAACAGAAAAAAATAAGAGGTGCAATGTTGATCGATTGCAACAAAAAAGTGTTCACATTCCAAACAATTTCATATCAAGCTGGGTGCAATGTTATTTGTTTATTTCATTTTTGACAGAAAACAACCTTTTTTGGTGCCGTTTTTCAATAAAGGCCCCATATGTTTTCATTTCATATATACATATGCATACATGTTTGAATTTTGTAATTTCGATAAATCTTTTGTGTGATTTTTGTCACGTTTTCGTACTTTAATCTAAGCCTTTCATATATAGCATTTTTTGATTGTCAATGTTTTCTTTTTTTTATCTCTCTTAAGTAACTTTTTTGGTAAAACTCCTTGAGTTACTCTGTGTTGTATGGCTGGTACATCAATTATCTTGTCTTTATTTCTTTTTTAAATTAAGTTTTAAGAATTAAAGCAATAGTTCTAATTCCAACATTTTTTCTGTTTTAAGTGGAGCGGCTCCGACGCCTCCCTGTGGTTTGCGCGAGGTGGAGCCGAGCTGACCGATATTATATACTAAAGCGGCTTGCCATACTATCTTGGCTCGCTTTCGCTGCTCCGGTTGTCAAGGCGCTCTTAGTGCCGACTTGTCCTCGTTGGGACTGGACTGCTCTGTTATTTCTCGGGTTGAGCTTTTTTCCCCTCTGTTGGATTTTTTTTACTGTTTTGTTTCAGTGACGGATTCAAAATAACTATCTACTAACAGTAAGTTACCTGGTGTTTTCTTTCTGTTCTTTCATTTTAAATTTCTGTTTACACGCGTTTCTCACCTCGGACATTCCATTTTACAACAAGTGCAGGATATTAGGGATTTGATTTATAATCGTGTTTATGTCTGATAAATCTATGGATATTTACAAACATTTATGTTTTTTTCATACACATTTTTGCTTTCGCGTGTCTGTGCCAAGGTAAAAAGAGGAACAATAAGTGAAAATATGAACTTTCCTTAACGTTGATGTTGTAACTGCTTTTTTCAAGATTTTTTTTTGTGTGTGTGTATGTGTGTGTGATTAAATTAATAATACTATAAGTTTTGGTTGCAGGTGTTTGGCCACTTCCTGCATTATAGAATGAGATGTCTATGGAGTCTGCCCTGGCATTTTATTGACCTATGGGTTGAGGTGGCACTCGCAAAGAAAAAAAAAAAAAAGGTTATCAGTCACCTACTTTTTGTTCTCTTTTTTTATCTTGTCAGCGCGCCGCTTTAGGGAACTAAAAGTAATTTCCTGAGGCTCTCAGGTTAAACCATTTCCCCACGCAGCAGCTGCAGCAGCGACTGCAGGGTTTTTGTTTTTTTTTAAGCGTGCCTGAAAAGAAGAAACGATGAAACTGCGCCCGGATTTCTTGCTGAACCAGCTTGTTTGCATACCTACACCTGTGCTGTAATTGTAAACTAAACTTCCTTTAATTCCTCCAACAACAGAGAAGGGGAGATCATAACAAGCCCATATCCACTCGTTAAAGGAGAAGTTCGGTTTTTTACACTTTAAGCCCATTTTCTGTAGTGTCCAGGATGAAATCGAATGATCGACACCAAAATTTTGACAATTGGTCCTGTCTCTGCTTTTTGGCTCATTTAGAATCACCCCCTGGCTGCTTTAGAATGGCTAGCATAGAGCATGTCCGATAATGTCCTTAAAACAACCTTAAACGTTCTTTTTTTAAAATATGCTACTCACCGTGTCGTCAGCGCTGTTCAATGACGTTCCAAAAAAAGTTTCGTGAAGAAAAAACGTTCCTGTAGTGTTTTATTTAGCATTCTGTAAATCCCATTGAGTTCTGTAGGAATAGTCAATATTCCGCTGCCACCGGAAACGGAAATGGGGCCTGTTTACACAGTTGTAGTCTTTTCGCTTCACTCTGTGTACTCCGACGTCGAGAATCAAGAATCCACCTTTCGTATTCCATTTTCAGAGTTTTTTAAAGTGTTTAACAGAGACGTTAGCACCTCGACGTCGGAGTACACAGAGTGAAGCGAAAAGACTACAACTGTGTAAACAGGCCGCATTTCCGTTTCCGGTGGCAGCGGAATATTGACTATTCCTACAGAACTCAATGGGATTTACAAAATGCTAAATAAAACACTACAGGAACGTTTTTTCTTCACGAAACTTTTTTTGGAACGTCATTGAACAGCGCTGACGACACGGTGAGTAGCATATTTAAAAAAAAGAACGTTTAAGGTTGTTTTAAGGACATTATCGGACATGCTCTATGCTAGCCATTCTAAAGCAGCCAGGGGGTGATTCTAAATGAGCCAAAAAGCAGAGACAGGAGCAATTGTCAAACTTTTGGTGTCGATCATTCGATTTCATCCTGGACACTACAGAAAATGGGCTTAAAGTGTAAAAAACCGAACTTCTCCTTTAACCTCCCAGCTTCAGTGTAATGACTTCTTTCCTGCGTGGTGTTTACAGTAAGTGGCTGGCAACAGTTCTGATTCACTGGCTAATTAATGGAGCTGCTATCTGCTGTGCTCCTGCAGTCTGTGCTGGTTTATCAGGTCCTGGTCCCTGGTGTTCGCCCAGACTGACTAATGGCCATGTTGCCTTTGGGTTATTTTTGTTTGCTCCACCCAGTTTCATGTGCATGAGGTGACCTGCAAACCCACACTCAGGGATACATACCCTAGTTAGAGTATTAATATGGGGCAATGGCGTAACTATGTAGTTGCTTAGGGGCCCCCGACCTATTAGGGGCCCCGTCACTGACATCTGGTTGCCCCCCTACACAATTGTTGACTAGGACGTCTCTTTGCAGATGTAACCGTGCAAAAAATTCCATATTTATACCCCAACACTTGCCAGATTTGAACATGATGGTGAGCCGTTTAAACACAACACCAATAGAAAAGCAGACAGTGGTACTTTTAATTACTATGTTAATAACTGTGTATAGTTTATTAGACGGTTGTTAAAAAAAATAGACTCCTATAATATGTTTCAAACCGCAATAAAGATCTTTAAAAAACGACTTATTTGAGTATTTTATTTTTTACAATACGACTTGGAATTATGGGTAATCCAGAGCGTAGATTAAAACTGTAACCGTTACTTACAATGTGTTAGCGACGATGGATACAAAAAGAGGGGCTAAAGCGGATTCCAGAAATGAAAAGGGAGAGAAGAGCTGCTGGAAGAACGGAAAAAAAAAACTTCCCAAAATAAAAATGTTCTTTCAAAGAACCAAATATTAAGAGGTGGACATTGCTGCTGCAGTGAGTAAAGATTGCGACCAGGAGATGAATGGAGAGAGCGTGGGTGAGGAGGGGGGGCTGTGAAACTCAAGGTAGCATGATAAGACTCATTTTACAGCAGAATATACTAAAGTATATCCATGTCTAGTGAAGGTGAAGAATGATGAAGTTGATGATGATGTTGCTTACGGGCCTATTGTTGTGTCGTTACGTTGTTTTAAAGAAGTTCAGCTCCTTGTGCCCAGATATAGAGCTCATGTATGGAGTAGTAACAGGGAGTTGGGGTGTTGCTGGTTGCAGCTCTATAGTACTCCTCTTGTACTGCAGACAGAGGAGTCAGTTTGCTGGAGGAAGAGGTGGAGTCAGGGTGTGTTCACATCCAGACTTTACCTTGGTGTAATATCCAGACTCTAAATGCTCTATTCAGCCACTCATGGAAATGGTAAATTTACTTTGTCCTTTTTTTTTTAAAGCACTGATTAATGAGCATCAGGTCGAAATAGGAAAAACGTATTTTTCCGTCAGTTCTTTGCTGTACATTTGATTAAATGAAAATTACATATTGGTTAGAAACCAATAGCTTGAGCCGTTGACTTGGCTACATTTTTAGATATTAAAATTAGGATTTCTTTTACGGTACCACCATGTATTAATTGTAATTAATAATGTAAACGTTTTATTGTTATGCGTCATAGTTACTTGGGAAGTTGACACGTCAGACCTAAAAGGAAAAAAAAAAAAAATAAAATAAAAAAAAAAATATATATATATATATATATATATATATATATGTATATAAACAATAAAAAAGGACACTGGTAATAGCCAGAAAGTGCCTTGTTGATCATTCTATATTTGTTTATCTATTTCAGTTAAAGTTTAAGTATATTAATTTTTCCTAAGCGTTGACTTGTCATTGAACTCTTCCCCCTTTGCCTATATAAACATATAAAGGCTGGATTGTGATTTCTCCAAGGGAACGAGGTTTTTTGCTAGCCTCGTGAGACCATCCTGATCTTGCGAGCTTTCAAGGTTTCACTCGCAGATCTGTTTGGAGACTCTCCGTTAAATAAAATCTGGAGCCGTTCACCAAACGAACGTCCAATCAGCGTTGGCTTTGAGGCGGATTGAGTTGTGACAGTTCAGTCTAAAGAACATGGCGGCTTCAACCGACGAAACTAGCGTTAGCGTGGCTATCGAGCAAGTTTTATCGGAATTACAGAGTATTTCTTCACTGAAAGAAGAGAAAAACACTGCTCTGGAGGCTTTTCTCAGAGGAAAAGATGTTTTTGCTCTTCTCCCGACTGGTTTTGGCAAGAGTAGCCTGGCTTGTGGCTGTGTTTTCATCGTTGCTCTGTTAGTACGTCATATGCTTCGTTGATCTGATTGGTTTATTTGGCCCGTCTATCACCAACATAACCCAATCAGCTAACCAGAATTTTCGCCTCCTTCCCAAAATTACTTCAACGAAAGGTTTCCAGATGGATATGCGGAGCAAATACATCTGGCTTAGTCAGGTTTGGTTTGTGCTGCTTGTTTAATGCTTCTTTTAAATTTATGTTTTGCCAAACAAATAAATCAGACATAGATGTCGTTTTCAAATGCACAGCCTCTTCCACATTTTTAGATACCTGGTAAAATTGTGTAAAAATCTTAAAATATAAACTGTAGGTATATTTATTTTACAGTAGCATCATTTCTTTCTTAAATACCCCCGTTCTGCACCAAATATATGAAATCTGACAGAACAATGATCTGCTCTCTATGTTTTATAAGTTTTCTATGTAGCCTTTAGTGTTTGATGTTCCTGTTATAAGTCAGGTGATTCAGGCGGGTTTACACTGCTTGCCTTCGTGGATTTAGACATGGATTTAATTTCCACTAATGGAACCTACTTGTGGCTGCACCCAGATTAAGGACAAACAAAGCCATTATGGTACGTGGATGGAAAACCTGTACATGGCATACAGTATGGTGAATTTTGCCCTAAAATCAACCTGCCACTTAGAATCCCTGTTTCGTTTATTTAGTCGGGTCAGGTGATTTTTACTCATATGACCATGAATAAGGACCACTAAAACTAAACAGCCATAAAAATAAAAACACTATATGTACTGAAGTGATATGGGAAGAACCTGAATAAAATGTATGCATGTTTCGTTCCTGTTGTTTTCCCTCGTCTGTGATCACTTGCTGTGGTTCTTCCTTTATGTAAACCCCCTAAATGTTTGTTCTTTGTCAGAGGTCCAGCTCCAGTTTATGTTATGTTCCCCGCTCAAAAAAAAAACTGTTTAGAGTCCCAGAAAGAGACAGGATGTCTTTCTACTTGGTCTGCCCAGCACCACTTGAGCTCTGGTCCCTATCCGTGAAACTTGAGTCTTCTCACCGCATCTAAGATTTGCGCTTACAGCAGCACATTTTGGAATCAAGTCAAGGAAATGTAACTCTAATCCAATTGGCTAAAGCTTTAGCAAAAGCTTTCCTTATTGGGCAACATGTAAGCTTG